CTGGCTATCTACCGAATCCAGATGACAGCAGTGCACCACAAACTGAGAGCAAGTACAGGGCTGTCAGACATGTGCAGAAGAACAGCTCTAGACAACATGTCATGTGCTACAGAGTGAGGCAAAAACCCTCCAAGGTAACTATCCAATCTTACCTAGGAAGGATTATTTCAAAAGCCCAAATGTGATACCCAACAAGGCCTGCTTCCAGAAAAGTTCTGTTCAAATGCAATCCACACCAGCCAACAACATCCTGCTGTGACAGTAAAGAACTCTCTCTTAGAACAATTTCTAAAAGCACCCAACTAGTTTCACCATTAAATCCCAGAAAGGAGGGCAAACAGCAGGACAGCTGAGAGAAACAGTCAGGGAGAAGGTGGTTCAAGCAGTTACTGCTCTTGATATGCAGTTGAGTTCAGAGGCATCTACCATGTGCTACATTCAGATGACAACTGGACTGAAAGCAACAAGGGCCTGTAGACTTAAAAAAACAAGACAAAATGGCTAACCTATCTGCAGGAAGAAAACTGCAACTCTCTGCACCTGTGGCAGTATTTTGAAGGGTTGCCCAAACAAAACAAGGAGAGGGAGGGGATGTTATTTATTTTTTCGATTTACAGATACCTTCTTGGGTTTTCGAATGTGATGAAAGGTTACACATTCGTGGAGGAGAGGGCTATCAATGGCTATTAGTCAGGAGGGCAGAAATGCTTCCGAATACCAGTTGCTGGAAACTGCAGGAGTGAAAAATGGTCGTGTTCAGGTTGTGCTTGCAGGTTTCCCACGGGCATCTGGTTGGCCACTGTGAGAACAAGATGCTGAACTGGATGTGATCCATCAGGCTCTTACCTGCTGGGTAACTTCCCTTCTCACGTACACATACATTATTTGTTAATCACTTCTTTTTCAATATTAAACTGACAGGTAACACCTGGTAAACACAGGTCTCTCTCTATTGAACTGGAACTTCCTATTATCTGACTGAAGGTTGACCTGAGGAGAGGTGTGGACAGGCTTCTTGCTTGCTGGGTTTACTTACAATTTTTACTAGAACCCCAAGATCTATCAATCACAGCTGGTGCAAAAAATATACACTTAAAACTGAACCCAGGAGTGTGCTTTGCATTCCAGAGCTCAGTTTTTTCCACAAAAGGGGCTCCTAGTTACCCCAAGCTTTCTCCCTTTTAGAAGCACAAATTAGGTTAGTTGTGTGTGTGTGTGTGTTTATGTGTGTTGCGAGGAGGGTGATTTTGTTGCTGCTACTCTTAAACTAGGAGACAGAACTCCTTGCCAGTTTGCTGCAAACAATCCAGAGATCTATCAGCAAATCCAGATTACAGCTCTGCATTTGGACCACCATATATCCTGCAATGAAATATATCCACCCAAGCATTGGTGTGGGGATCATACACTAGACCTGTAAATAACTGCTTGCCAGGTCAACATCTTTATGCAAGGAAGGCCAGTATTTTTTCTTTTAAAAGCTGATAACTCATGTTCATTTATTCACAAGATCACCACATATAGTCAGTATGATCCAAGCAATAAAGTTCTGAATTGATTGAGATGTGTTAAATCCAAGCTGCTTGGAAGCCAACCAGAACCTGCAGTTTATCAGTGAAGCAGTGGGCTTTTTCACATTTGGTATACACCAGACTTCACTAGAGGAGGACATTCAAGATACTCCTTAATTTTAGGGTTGTGGGTTCAAGCCCCACATTAGGCAAAAGAACCCTGCATTGCAGAGGGTTGGACTAGATTACTTCTGTGTTCCCTTCCCACTCTGAAATTCTATGATTCTACTCGTGCCAGTGTGGTGTAGAGCAGTGTTTCCCAACCAGTGTTCCGCGGCACACTAGTGTGCCGCGAGACGTTGCCTGGTGTGCCGCGGGAAAAATTAAAAAATTCGAAAGATATCCGGAGAGGCGGCCTTCAGGCGAGTTTTAATTTTAATTTTCCTTCTCCCACTTAATGCCCCACGCTTGCCCGAGCAGCTTGCAGTCCTCGGTAACCACGGCGACCCGAGGGAGGGGAGGGAACAGGGAAGTCGAGGGCGGTGGCGAGCCGCGATGACGTCAGTGGGCCGCGCCGCCTCGCCCTGGCACGGTGTGAGAGCCCCGGCTAGTGGCGCGAGCTTCAGAATAAGTGGGATCCGCGTGCGCGAGACCGAGATCGCGGGTAAGGAGCTCAGCCCTGGGCAGGAGGAAGCAGGGCCGCGCGTGCGGGCCACATCCCCACAGAGAGCGAGCCTCCCCCGGCCCACCACTCCGGGCAGGTCCACTCGCATGAGGGGGCGTGATGGTGACGGCCGGCAGCTTGCCTGCAATGCCATCCCTCGAGCAGGCGAGGAGCCCGGAGGCTACCAGATGCGAGTCCTCTTTCCCACCCTGCTCGGGAGTCCAGAGCACTTGGTCGCATTCAGGATCTAGAGTGGGGAAGCGGGGCTTGTGTCTGGGCTGGACACATTGGGCTGCCTGTGCCGCTCGACCTGCGGGGAGAAATCAGGGTGGGAGTCACGACCGTGAGGCAGGGCTGCCAAGTGTGGCAGAAGAGGACACGGCCGTCGCACCTGTCCTTAGGTAGGAGCTTCTTCCGTGTCGACCTGCTGCCCTAAAGTCTTGGCTTTTTTCTTGGCTTTTTGGCGGTTGGCACAGAAGGAAGGCAAGGGGGAGGGGGAAAAATTGAAACTTACACTTTCGTGCGTCCCTCCCGGCGTGACGCTGCGCGCTGACGTCACGGGGCTGTAATGGTGGTGTGCCTCGAGATTTTTTTCATGAAACAAGTGTGCCTTTGCCCAAAAAGGTTGGGAAACACTGGTGTAGAGGTTAGAGGGCTGGACTAGAACCCAGAAGACCAGGATTCAAATCTCCACTTGGGACACAAAGCTCAGTAGGTGACCTTGAATCAGTCGCTGCCACTCAGCCTGACCTACCTCACAGGGTTGTTGTGGGGATTAAATGAGGAAGGGGAGAAACATGTACGTCACCTTGAGCTCCTTTGAGAAAAGGTGAGATATATATGCAATAAATAAATAAATACATTCATTGGAATGAATTTAAATTATCATCCCCGTTGATGGTAACTCGAAACTTTTGATAGTAGAGCGAAGTTCAATCTCTAGTTAGGGAATCAGGTGGTGGAAAAGGCATTCACTGAAGACTGCAGAGCTGCAGCAAGCTAGAGTAGACAATCCTGGGCTCAATGGACAAGAAAGCTCACCTGGTATAAAGGCAGCCTGAACAAACTTAACAGAAAACCGGATGTTTTGCCATTATGAAACTTGAGAAACTTATTTTACATTTGCGCATATGGTGTATTAAAACAAATGACTAGCGAATATATCCAAAGATTAACGTAAGAACATATACAGAGCCTGCTGGATCAGGCCAATTGTCCATTGTGTCTTATTCTCACAGTGGACAATCAGATGCCCAAAGGAAAGCCTGCAAGCAGGACCCAAGCACAGGGAGCACTCTTGCCTCCTGTAGTGTATTCTGAAGCATTGCTGCGCCAACTGTGAAGGCACAGTATAGACCTCATAGCCAGTGGTCATCAATAGCTGTTTCGTCTTATCTTCTTTTGAAGCCATTCAGGTTGGTGGCCATCATCGTCTCCTGTGGGAGTGAGTTCTATAGCTTAACTATTCTGCTAGAAAGAATGATCTACATACAGGCGAAGTTCACATTTAATCAGACCATTACTAATTCTTATTAGTAATGGCAAATTTAAGGAAAAGAAAAAAAGAAAAAGAAAATAAATCTATCTGGGAAATACTTGGGGCACTTCATGCATTCCAACAGACAGGCCCTCGCATTCCCACTTGGTGTCAACCATAGCCACTTGTAAATCTGAGGGGAGATGGTACACACATAGCTCCCCAGAGGAGGCTCAGTCTGCTGCTGTTCCTGGGGGCATAATTATAAGGAGTTACACAAATGCCTTTCAGAAAAGACATGTTCACCTATGATGGGTGGTGGAGGAGCGGGGAGCCATTTTTCTCTGCAATGTGCAAAGTGACTCCAAAGCATTTCGTCTCCAAGAACTTGCACAGCCAAGTTATGAGCAAATGAACAGCTCACCCTTGTGGCACTTGGAGGTACCAAATCCAGAAGGAGCAGGCTGGGGGATGTTATGCCCAGAGCCACTGCCCTGGAGGAGCCCAAGGTCCACATCCTCCTCCAAGCAACTCCTGCAAGTTCTCCATTCTTCCTAAACCACAGCACAGTCTTGGCAAAAAGGCCACCAAGGAGTTTGGACTGACCAAAGCAGAGTTTGCAAAAGAGGAATAAAAATCCCGGCACAACGCTGCGCTACTTGGGACTAGAGAGAGGGCAGAAGGTTGTTTTTGCTATCCCTTCCGTGGAAGCCAGTGCAGCCGAGGCAAGTGACTAAGAAGTGGGCCGAGGCTAGTTGTTGGGTTTTGGGCTTCCTAGCTCTTTGGCCCCCTTCCCAAACCCAGAAAGCTGGATCAGAGGGAGCCGGAGCCCTTTCCGACTCCTCAGCATCAAACCCCAATGAAGTACCCCCGGGCCGGATCCGACCCCGCTTCTCCCGCCCGCGCCTCTTCCTCCGCCTGGCCACAGCGCTCCTCGGCGGGGCACCTGCCTTGCATGAGGGAAGCTCCCAGCCTCAGCCCCCGCCGGCATCTCCAGGTGGGGAGCCCTCCTGGAGAGCCGCTGCCTGCCAGCCAGGGGTCCTGAGCTACACGGGCCCAGGGCTCCGGCCGTGACCGGGGAGCCACGCGCCTCGAACCGCAGCCGGCCCGGCGGCCACCCTCCCAACTTCTCCCGGGCGCCCGTTCTCTTCTTCCTCCATTCCGGCGCCAGGCCCAGGAGGCGCCCGCCGAACTCGACCCGCGCGCGCTCTCCCTCACGGCCCCCGCCAGGCTAGGCCCGGCCCCCGAGTGGCCCCCGCCAGGCTAGGCCCCGAGAGCCCCCTCAGGTGTCTGGCCCGGCGGCGCGGCCTGTCCGCCGAGCCCCGCTCTCCCTCGCGCATCCCCTCACCTGCACATGATCCGCCATTTTGCTCCATTCATGTTCCGCTCCCGCCGCCGCTCTCGCTGCCGCCGCCGCCGCTTCTCGCCCCCTCCCACCGCAGGCGACCCAGCCAGGGCTGCCGCGCCTGCGCACTGGCGCCGGCCCTCCTCACGCACTCGGCGTCAAGCGGGGGCCTCGAGGGCTGAGAACGAACCAGGGACGCCGCCGCCGCTGCGGCCGCCGCGCGGGCTTTCGGAATGGCTCGGCTGCTCTGCGGCGGCGTAGAGGAGGGAGCCGCCGGTCGCGCCGCAGTGACGTCACCGCGCAGGACGGGAGGGGGGGAGAGACTGTTGCGCGCGCGCGCGCCGGGACGGGGCAGGGGAATGCGCGGGGTGTAATCGGACTTTGTTTACATGGCTTCTTAAAGGGGCCGCGCGTCGTGGCGCGGGGCAGGGCTCCTCCATGGAGGGCGGGGGGTAAGGAGCTAGTCTGAAACAGCCAGCCTCTGAGGGGCAGGCGCTGTGGGGGGCAGGGAGGAGGCGTCTGACGGAGCCTTCTCCAACCGGGCGCCCTTCAGGTGTTTTTGGACTACATCTCCCGTCATCCTCAGCGTCGTACGGCCGCGCTGGCGGGGGCTGATGGGAGTTGTAGTCCATAAGCGGGTCAGACCAGGCAGCCTCTTTTGACAGGGGCCGACCAGATTCGAAATACGAACATAAAAAGGGCGTCCATCTAGGAGCCCAGCCTCCTCTTTTCACAAGGGGCCGATCAGATAGGTGCCTCTTGTTGGAAACTCACAGGCAGGATCTGATCCCAAGAGAATTCTCCCATCCTATGGTTGCCAGCAACCGGTGCAGTGGTACCTCTAGATACAAACGGGATCCGTTCCGAAGCCCCGTTCGCATCTAGAAGCAAACTTAACTAGCGACGGCACATCTGCGCACGCACACGTTGCTTTTTGCCGCTTCTGCGCATGCACGTGACGTCGTTTTCAGCGTCTGCGCATGCGCAAGTGGCGAAACCCGGAAGTAACGCGCTCTGTTACTTCCAGGTCGCCGCGGAGCGCAACTCGAACGCGCTCAACTCAAAGCGTATTCAACCCGAGGTATGACTATTCAGAAGCACCACTTCCCATTTTACCCCTTACCCTTGGCTTGTTCTTGTTTGTGCCAAGGGCATTTCCCACAGTTACCCCAAGTCGTATTTATTTATTTATTGCATTTATACTGCACCCTAAGGAGTTCAAAGTGGAGTACGCCAGCGCCAGATTTAGGGCGGTGTGGGTGGTTCCTGTGCGCAGGGTGCACTGAACTGAGGGGGTACAAAATTGAGAAGATCCATAATTGAGAAGATCCATTTTGGGGGGCATATTACAAAAGTCTGCCCCTGCATACGTGGTTCCCCTTGTGAGGTAGTGACTGTCCTTCCAAGTTCACACAGTGAGCTTCATGGCTGAATGGGGATTTGAAACGGGATCTCTCACAGATCCTAGTCTGACACTTTAACCACTACACCCCACTGGCTCTTGCTCCTTCTCACTAAAGCTCTGTAGACATGGGGCTTATCCACACTTACCTTTTCTCCACTCTTCCCAGGCACAATCTGCAATTTAAAACCTCTGTGTCCAAGCACCCTTTTTTCCCTTCTCTGAAGCTTTTCCTGCAGAACCCTACTCTTTAAAGCTCAATCAAAGCAAATTCCAGTGTGGAAAACCCAAATTGATGTTTGCTTTGGCTTTAAAGAATGGGTTCTTGTGGGGTAAGCTCTGGAACAAGACAAAAAAGCTTGCCTGGAAACAAGGTAAGTGTGGGTAAGTCCATGGGGACAGGAAGTACAGTACAGTGGTACTTCGGGTTAAGTACTTAATTCGTTCCGGAGGTCCGTTCTTAACCTGAAACTGTTCTTAACCTGAAGCACCACTTTAGCTAACGGGGCCTCCAACTGCTGCCGCGCCGCCGGAGCACAATTTCTGTTCTCATCCTGGGACAAAGTTCTCAACTCGAGGTAACTCTTCCAGGTTAAAACAAAATAAAAAAATTCCTTCCAGTAGCACCTTAGAGACCAACTAAGTTTGTTATTGGTATGAGCTTTCATGTGCATGCACACTTCTTGAGATACACTGAAACAGAAGTATCTGAAGAAGTGTGGATGCACACGAAAGCTCATACCAATAACAAACTTAGTTGGTCTCTAAGGTGCTACTGAAAGGAATTCTTTTGTTTTGTTTTGACTACGGCAGACCAACACGGCTACCTACCTCCTCCAGGTTAGTGGAGTTGGTAACCTGAAGCGTTTGTAACCTGAGGCATTTGTAACTCGAGGTACCACTGTATATAGGATCAAAGCTTCCAGGCTAGGTCTTACATCCTCTGGGTGGTGGGCCTTGACTGGCTGTGGGGTGGAGGAGATTGAACGGGAGGCAGCTGAGGGGGCAGGAATGAGCACTGAGCAACCCTAAGGGGTCAAGCAGGGTCAGCTCACCACCTCACAACCCCTCCCTTCCTCTCCCGCTTGCACCAGCAGGGGTCCTCCTACTAACATAATGGCATTGCTACCCTAGCATTTATGGTATTTCCCCCCCTGCCAAGTGCAGTAAAAAGATTTAGGAGCAATTGTATCACAATCTGTAGTTATAAACTGACAACAGGATCACTTTGTGTATAAGAACATGAGAAGAGCCTGCTGGATCAGGTCAACAGCCCATTTATTCCAGCATCTTGTTCTCATAGGGATGCGGGTGGCACTGTGGGTTAAACCACAGAGCCTAGGACTTGCCAATCAGAAGGTCGTGGTTCGAATCCCCGCGACGGGGTGAGCTCCCGTTGCTCGGTCCCTGCTCCTGCCCACCTAGCAGTTTGAAAGCACATCAAAGTGCAAGTAGATAAATAGGGACTGCTCCGGTGGGAAGGTAAACGGCGTTTCCATGCACTTCTCTGGTTTGCCAGAAGCGGCTTAGTCAAGCTGTACGCCGGCTCCCTTGGCCAATAAAGTGAGATGAGTGCCGCAACCCCAGAGTCTGCCACAACTGGACCTAATGGTCAGGGGTCCCTTTACCTTGTTCTCATAGTAGCTAACCAGCTGCCCCAAGGGGAAACCTGCAAGCAGTATTCAAGCACGAAAACACTCTTCCCTCTAGTTGTTTTCAGCAACTGGTATTTGGAAGCTTTGCTGGCTTCAACTGTGGAGGCAGAGCGTTGCCACCATGCTGAGTAGCCATTGAGTGCCCTCCCTATGAATTTGTCTAATCCCCTTTTAAAGCTGTCTAGGTCGGTGCCCATCACTGCCTCCTGCAGAGCGAGTTAAGTTTCACTATGTGCTGGCTGACATCCGTCTGTCTCAAAAGACAATGGAGTGCGCCTCCAGAAGTGAAATCCGACTGTGCATTAGCAGCACCAAAGCGACCTCCCTGGGGCGCAAGCCTGGGCAGCGTGTTTGAAGGTCCTGTGCTGCCCAGACAACAAGACTTTACTCCTGAGCTTAATTTTATCTGTCCTGAATCCTCCAACTTCATTAAACACTCACAAGTTCTATTGCTGTTACAGATAGGTAGCCGTGTTGGTCTGCCATAGTCAAAACAAAAAAATTCCTTCCAGTAGCACCTTAAAGACCAACTAAGTTAGTTCTTGGTATGAGCTTTCGTGTGCATGCACACTTCTTCAGATTGTTCAGATTCTTCAGATTCAAGTTCTATTGCTGTGAGAGAGGGGGTGGGGGTGGGAACTTTTCTCTATCTACCTGTCAGGGAACTGACATCAGAGACACGGGAGAAGGAGAGGGTCTCAGACTCTGCAGGTGAAGGTCCCAGCACAAGGGGGAGACTCAGCTCGGTGGAAGGTAATACGCGTTACACCAAGAGTCCAGAAGGGCAAGGGGAAGAGGAGGTGGAAGGGCTCCGGGATTCTTCCCTGGAAGTCAGTGAAGAGAGCCCAGGCACTCCGCTGCCCACGCCCACCCTGCGCAGGAGACTCCTGCGCAATGAGAGGCGGAGACGATTAGGTGTCAAACAGCTCTTATGCTGGAAGAGGTTTAAGAAACGCCCACAGACAGATTCTGCCAGCGACTGAGGGCAGCCGCGCGGAGATGGGCTGTGCAGTCCGAAGGATTTAACCAGGCAACCAAGCACCCAAACGGGGTCGGTTTACGCACGAGTAACTCCAAACCACTACACTACCTTTGTAGCCTTATTGGAGTTCACCGATTGGGTCTGCGTTGCTCCCGGACAGGAGGAAGGAAGTCAAATGACACCGAATCTCCAGATAGCAGAAGGCACTTGCATGATTAGTCCACAGCAAGTCCAAAGAAATGAGAAGTTTCATGCAGTATATATATCCTCCAGGCACCCTCTCCCTCCTTCCCCAGGAATCCAACCACGTCAGCCTATGTACGCAGGTTGACATCACAGATGTTCCTGCTCCGGCATTCTTAACCATAAAATGGTATTCCTTCCTATGCTTCTGACCATAAAAGAATCTTCCTTCCTGTATTTCTGACCATGAAAGGATCTTCCTTTTCCTACTCTTATCTTGGAGCAAGAGGTCACCATATCCGAGAACACACTCTGGCGCTGTTCCCAGACTGGGTCTGTGGTCTTTGTGGTCAGGACGTCTCTGTTCTACTGGTACAGTGAAGGCCATACTTGCCGTCACAAACTGATAAAGGAGAGAGCTTTGAGCACAGCCAGCTTTTTGTTTATACATTGACTCAGAGCTCAAGTTAATGGATTTTAGCTAAGGAAAAATAGGGATTTTGGTGCAGTTTCAAACTGCCTGCACAGTCAGTTTTGGGTTTGGGAAACCCATTCCTTCACCTTCTCCATACCACACACAATTTCAGAAATTTGTCCCAGTGTAAAATACAGTGGTGCCTCGCAAGACGAAATTAATTCGTTCTGCGAGTTTTTTTCGTCTTGCGAATTTTTCGTCTTGTGAATTTTTCGTCTTGTGAATTTTTCATCTTGCGAAGCACGGTTTCCCATAGGAATGCATTGAAAACACACAAGCTTCCAGATTCTTGCAAACCCCTCCCCAACACCAAGTCCTTGAATTCCAAACACCCCAACCCAAAATCCAAACCCCCCCCAAAAAGTTTTAAAAGTTTAACTTACCAAATGGCTGCAAAAGAAGTTTTGGAAAAGCTTCAAAAATCACCAAAGTCTTCAAAAACTTCAAAAAAGGCTACCACACCGCGTGCTATGAGTTGCTCCTTGAAGTCAAGTCACAACTGCACCTCTTCAAGCAATGCACCCTGGTTATTAACGGTTTAAAAAAAGGAAACA